GGGGTGGCCACATCGGCTTCCTGGAAGGGCTGCTCCCGTGGCAGCACTGCTACATGAGCCGCCTCTTGCATCAGTATGCCAGAGCCATCTTCCAGCACCAAGCGGAGCTGCTTGACCTTGGGGCTCTCTCACCTTCTGAGGACAGAAACAGCTGACAAGAGTACCATCTGGGGTCTCAGTTCAGTCTTCCCTTGTTTATTAAATATCAACTTTTCCTGCCTAATGGGCTGAAGTTCATTTTCCCTTTCTTCAAGGCAGGGGTAGATTATCCAGAAACTTATTGCATGTTTAGCCTGGCTAGCTTGATGCTACCCACCTGAACCCATAGATTACTATTCAAGTCTTCCTTTTGCCCCTTCTTGCCCTAACACCAAGTACCAAGCTGGTCCTTGCCCCGGCAAATGCCAGGGGCTTCATATGAAAAGCAACTGGCCACATGGCTATGAGGGGAGGAAGAGAAATCGTTTCTACAGGAAGGACAACAGAGCCTGCAGGCTCCTGGGCATCTTCACATGTTTCTAGAGAAAGGACAAGCTCAACTCTGGAGCCTCTGACAGGTAGAGGGAAGGAGGCAGGAAGTGTGCCCTGGGCTTCGGACACCACTGTACCAGTGGATCCACAGATGATAAATGCATGGTTCCCAGGACCCAGAGTCACGCAGGGCCACAGCCAAGCTTTAACTGGGAGGGGCAGGCAGTGCCCATCCATCTCATCAGAGGCAACCTCAGCTGTGGACCCAGATGGAGTGAGCAATGGGGGTCCAGGCCTCCTCTCTGCTCTAGAGGGTGGCAGTGTCCAGGCCCCTGATTCCCAGGGAGCAGGGAGGCTAAAGAAAACCTGGAAAGGCACTCTGGAGCAGCAGGATGGTCACAACAATAAGCCCAACACACAGCAGGAGCAGCAGCCACACAGGAACACTCCCTGCAGGAGGGGTAAGGGAAGAAGTCAGCAGGCAGAGAAACTGGAACCAAGACCCTCAACCTATTCCATTGAAGGATGGAATACAACCAACAGCCCAATCTCCAGGGGAAAAGTTTTCACTCCAGCTAAAGGTAGGGTGATACCCTCCCCCAATGACTCACGCCGTGAGGGCAGCAGGTGCAGCTGGCATCGACTATCCACAGCCACAGAGAACAGGGCAGTTTCATGGGACCCAAGGAGCTCTGGACCACGACCCTTCTCAGGTAGAAAGGCCACATCCGTCACCACAATGCCATGGGCCTCCCTCACATAGTAGAGGCACTGGGGCAGAAAGAAAACCAGTGAGGAAAGGCCTAGTTGGGAACCCTTCTTCTGGAAAATGTGCTCCCCACTCCCACCACTACAAAGTGGGCCAGACTCCTCCTTGCACACTCAGGCTAGAGACAGGCCTACAGTCCTCCCACAGGGCTCTGCCAACCTCTGCCCATTACCTGGAGAGAGAAAGCTATGTAGATGGCAACAGAGCCAGTGACCGTCCCCAGGCCTAGGAAGGTGCCCGATTCACTGCAACAAACAATAAAGTGCTCGTTGTCCTGGAGGTTGTGCAGTAACCCTCACTCACCAATATCAGTCCTCAGGCAAGACTCCTCTCCAAGCTCCCCCAGGAACCCACTATCCAGCCAAGCCAGCATTGTCTCACACCTGATGTTGAGGCAGGAGATGACTTCATGACCACAGGGCTTTGTCCGAAGGGGCAAGAAGGTGGAGCCATCCCAGGCTGTGAGGTAGCAGGGTGGAGGCTGGCGCAGGCGCTTGTGGGGAATCTGTACTGTGAAGAGTCGTAGCCCAGCAGGCTGGTCTGGAACCCGCCCAAACCTGGGGGCCAGGTGAGGCACTGTTCAGCTCCTGGGGCCTGCCCAACCCTCCTCAGAGGTTTGTGCCCCCCTGCACCCTGGTCAGGCCTGGGGAAACACCCAAAAAGGCCACAATCCTCCCCAGCTCCCCCCTACTGCAGCTGGGCTGTGCCTCTTTAGCCACCCTCCAGGGTCTTCACACCTGCAGGCCTGGTAGCGGTAAGGAGTGTTAGAAAAGGTGGGTCCATTCTCTTGCCAGTGCAGCTGTACCACTAGCTGATCCTTCTGCCACACGCAGGCCTTAAGATCCCGGCCCACAGTTACCAACTGGTCAGGAATAAAGATTCCAAAGATAGACTGTTAGGGGATCTACTTACTGGAGAAGCAGCATCACCATCCACTTTCTCCTCTCTCCACCTCACCTTGCCATCAGGCCCCAAAGCCAGGTCTTCGATCTCCCCTTCATGGGCTTTGAACTCCAGAACTTTCTCCAGACTGGGTACCTACAACCAACCCACCACCACAGTTAGCCCAGGTCCACAATAAGAGCACTAAGATGCCCACCCCTCTTCTAACAGCCACTCAGTGCAAGCTTCACTCACAAGTTTCCCAGCACCCACATTCAGTTTGTCACAATTTTGGTCTTGTTGCTACTGACTCTTATCCTCCCTAACCCCCCAAAATCACACCTTCCAGACACGAACATGGCCATCTGTCCCTCCAGTGGCAAGCAGGGTATTATCGTGGTTGAAGCACACAACTTTCTGCAGTGGATCAGGGCCGAAGTCTGTCTGTACCGCCTGCAAATTCTCTACCCTGAGTTCTAACCCCTCTCGCTGGGTTTCAGCTCCAGATTTCTTCTCTGCTGCAGCTGCCCCCTTCCTTTGTCGAGGCCCCTGCTCCTTTGAGCCTGTAAGACAAACAGCTTGCCAGGTTCCAGGCTTCTATGTACTACTTTTAGCCTGCTACCACATCCCCATTTCCAGCCCTACTTCTATAGACAGACCAAGATGACAGTGACCTTACTCATTTAACCCTTTTCCCAAAGGGCCAGAGGCAGCACCTCACCTTCCTTCTCTGCCTTGTTGCTGCCCTTCTGCTGATGAACCTGGAAGCGCAGGAGCTGACAGTGGGCATCCTGCCCTGCAGCAAGGATGTCACCAGCCAGGGCCAAGTTCATGGTGGCCCGAGTCTCTGTGTCATGGGAGTGCAGCAAGGAGGCACTCAGGCGCCCATTAATCTGCTCTAGCTGCAGAAAGTGCTGTGGTAGAAGGAACGAGGATGAGCAAAGTTCAGGGGTATCCAGAGAGCACGTCAAGGGAAAACTTACATCCTATAATCCGATGCCCTATCGCTCTGCTTACTGCACTTTCAAGTTCACAAAGCATTATCCAGTCTTTTTGCTCTTATTTGGGCCTCACAAATCTGCAGAGCATGCAGGGCTGGGATTATTACCTTCATTTTACAGAACAGAGCTAGGCTCATAGGGTAAAAGAATCTAGACTGAAGACCAAATGCGTCACTCTTGCTGCTGCTACGGGGCAGACAAGGCTGTGTGGCTTCCCCGGAAAAGGCCAGGATGAGACCCCTGGAACTCATGTGTTCCCGCCAGAGCTATGCAGCTCTGTATACAGTTTTCACTATACTTGAAAAGTCTCTCAATCGCCCACTAAGTTCTTGGCTGAAATTCGCGCCTGGGCGCTGGGAATGTCGGGTTTTCCCACCAGAAATGGGCAAACCCCGAATCTGGGGTGCTGCTCGCCCCCAGGACCCCCGGCCACCCTGGAATCGCCCTCAGCCCGCGCGGTGACCCAGCTTCCGTGGCTCTGTGCTCTCACCACGCCATTCTTTATGCCTGTCTTGGCGGCACCTCCTCCGCCCGCGGCGATGAGCAGCCCTGCGCTGGGGTCGACCTGAAGCGCGTACAACGGGAACGGAGCCCGGTACAGCTCTGGAGCCCGGCGCCGGCCCATCCCGCCCGCCGCGCGTTCACTGCCCGCTCCGTGGCACCCAGGACATGCCGCACACGGCCTTCTACTACTGCTCGGGCAGCTGTTGAACTTGGTCCTGTCGCCGCCGAGATCACGCCCGACTCCTCTCACACCCGCAGGATTGCCCAAAGCTCAAACCACCCTCAGGCAGCCGTATCACCATTCCGGTCCGTCTAAGTCCGACGCGCAGACACGCAATGCGCACGCGCACCTGTCCCGCGGTCCGCTTCGCGCAAGCGCAGAACCGCCGGCACGCGTCAGCACTAGCGGCCACGGGACCCGGAACTCCCGGGCCGGGATGCGGTTCTCTGTTCCTCCCCGCCCCTCGGGGCTCCGCCATCTTTGTGCGGGGCATGAGAGGCGTGGGAGGTGGAGCTGACAGGTTGATAAAGGTCGATAAGCCTTTAATAAATACTCCAATTAGAACTGGCCCTACTTCAGGAATGATAGATAGGCCGAGTCATACAAGCGCAGCCTTTACTTTTACCCCTGAGAGGAAGTGATTTGTCCAAGGGCACACACCAGAAGTCTCTTGCCTCTTAACGGAGGAAGCATGTATTTGAAAATAGACCTGGCTTAAAATCCCCGATCCACTGCTTCCTAATATGGGGAAACTACTATCAACGTTAACAAAACACCTATGCTCCACGGTTGGCAGAGGTGGCAGTCGGCCATTCCCTTACTTGCGGGAGGGTTGTGGGTAAGGTCTGCTCCCCTCTGCTGGGCTCAGATGCAGGCAATTTGGATAGGCGTCCTCTGTGCCTGACACCCCATCCCACCCTCCTGAGGGGGCCTTCGGGTTTCTGATCTGTGTGGGGTTTCTGATCTGTGTGAGGACCTCAGTAATCCCCTGAGAGTGGGCACTAGGGATGCCCATCCTTGCAAGGAGACACACGCTGCTGCATCCTTCTTAACCTGAGGTGCACTCGGAGGAAAGGGCCCAGTGGTTTCATCTTTGCAGATACCAGTATCTGTCCACAGATTGAATTAAATGAGTGAAGGTTGTGGTGGCGGTGTAGTGGACGGGGCGGGGAGCGCTGGGTCAGCCCTCACCCCAAATTTTAAAAAAAAGTAAATGAGTGAAGGGCCAGCTGAGCCCTCTTTGCATGTCAGGTACTCAGGACTTGTGTGTGCCTTGTCCTCCTTGGATACATGGCACCTGCTGTCCCAGGCCTCTCTGCTTCCTTTAGCACACACCCTCCATTCTGTGTGCTCAGCAGGACACAAACACAAGTTTCACGGGGTCAGGCTTTATTGGATACATTGAAGGCTCTTCAGCCAGGAGAGAGAAGACTCCACAAGGGGTTCCCAGGGTTCAGGGCAGGAGAGCACACCTGACCTCCGGCCAGCCAGCCCTTCAGGGTGTCTCGGGGGCTCCCAGAGATCTGGGGCTTGATGGCGAGAGTGGGGTTTGGAGGAGGTGCTCCAGGGAGCCTCCGTGGCTCTGGAACTAGGATGGCGACTTTCGGAGAATGAGCTCTGGAGAGGCAGGCCTCTTTGGGGCAGGGGAAGGTCTGCGCTTCTGAGAGGCAGTGGCCTGTTTTGGTGCCTGAGGTGGAGGCCTGGAACATCTGGTGGAGTTTGGTGATTGAGGACCTGCAGACCGGACGCTCCCGGTCTGGGAGGGTGTGTCTGGTGTTGGATCTGCCTGGGCCCGAGCCACTGGGTCTTGAGCTGCTGGAGCCCGTGATGTCCTCAATTGATACCCATGGGCCCGAGCAGCCTCGCCCTGAGGCCCTGCTTCCTCTGGCCTTCTTTCTGGCAACAGATGCAAGGCCCTGGCCTGGCCCCGAGGCAGGCGGAGGCCGAAGCCAATGCCTATGCGGAGTGGCCGGGATTCCTGGCCCTGCCCACAGGGCAGTAGTTGGGGGAAGGCAAGCAGCCGGGGTCCAGTCTTGTACCTGGGCATGGGGCAAGAGGGGCCGCGGGGCCGGAGGCACACCAGGCATATAGGATACTCCACGACCGGGGCCTGGCCGGTTGTGCCTAGCCACAGGCGCTGCAAAAGCAGTAGCCGCAGGTCGTGTGCAATTCGGCGGTGCCCCACATGGGCCACCAGGGCCTGGGCGAGGGCCCCCGGGTCCCTGAACTCTGCAGGGTCCGTCTCGCTTGCCACGCACCCTTCCAACTCCCCAGGGGACCCGGTGTCCCTGTACTGATGCCAGTGCCATGTCTGGCTGTTAGAGTGGACTCCGTGAGGAGGTAGGCTGGGGCTTGGAGAAGTGAATGTGGAGCTAGGTAGGTCTTTGGAGTGGGAGGGGGACTGGCAAGGTGAGTAGGGGAGGGGGGAGTTCTGAGGGAGGGAAGGAGAAGAGGAGACGGTGAGAGGAGGAGAGGGGTGACGCTGGTGGTGGGGTTGCTGGGGGTGTTTTGAGGGAGAGGAGGAACGTTGAAGGGAGTAAGAGAGGAAGTTCTGGTGATAGAAAGTGTGGGAACTTGGGTGAGAGGAAAAATAGGGATGTGTAGCAAAGTCAGAATTCGAGTCAGATGAGTAGAATTGGAAGCCCGGAGAGCAGGACGGTGGAGGAGGGGAGAAGCGGAGATGGGGTCGAGGGGAAGAGGAGAAAGGTGTGCGGGAGGGAGGAGGCAGTTGCTGGGGAAAGAGAGGCTGTAGGTTGGGGGAAGAGGAGTCCACAAGTTGTGAGAGGCCCTGAGGGGGGTGGCCAGGGGGCACTGCTTTCTGTAGCAGCACCTGGTCCTTGTTTCGAGGCAACATTGCCTTGAATCCAGAAGGGACGGGGGTGACAAGACCAGGGTTCAGAGACCTAGCAGAGTCCTAGCAGAGTCAGAACCAGTATCTCTGAGGCCAGCTGCGCCTGAGAAATCAAGGCCACTTCTGTGCACAGTGCGGCTCCAGCCTGGTGTTGGTGGCAGGCCAAGGAGACACCCAGCCCTCTAGCACCAGGCTGTCTGAGTGCTCAGGCAGGAGCGTGGGACTAAGCTTGGCTTCTCACTTCTTCGCAGTTAGCCATTGAGGAGCGATGTGTGGGGATGGAGAATCAGAGCTGCCTCCTGGGAGCTGAGGGGCAGCACGATTATCTGGGTGGGGCAGGGAGGGAGACAGAGCCCAGGGGACCTGTTGAGAAAAAAGAGAGCCCAAATATTGGGAGAATCGTTCCATTTCTGGTTCTGCCTCATGCACCCAGTTCCAGGCTGAACTCACCAAGAACCTAAATCCATGTTGCCTTTGGGGTCAGAAGAGTTGGCAATATCCTCCAGGGAAGGTGAGAAGTGGGGAGGAGAGGAATGGGGGGGTAGGATGGAGTTGTGGAGGGCTGTGGGGCATGAGGGCTGAGATGGGAACAGGAATGAGAGTGTTCTGGTGCTAAGAGCTCTTACCAAGGAGGACTCCTCTGGGCTGTTTTCACAGGCACTTCAGCGAAGAGGGGACCTGGAGCGAGAGGAGCAGAGTCACCAAACGGTGAACATACCTCCCTCTGCCCCCAGTGTCTGTCACCCTAAACTTGCTCTGACCCCGATCTCTGTCTGAGGCTGGCCCTCAGTCCTTCAGCCAGGTGGAGGTCTTCTCTGGTACAGGTTTTTGTCCTCCTAATCCTGACTCAGGGATTCTGCGAACATCCTGGTTTCCTGCCACTCTAGTCCCTCTGACCCCTTGTCACCCGTAAAGCTAACGTCCTCTAGCTCAGCCTGTCCCTGGCTGAGATGGCTTATCACACCCTGCACCAGCAGAAGTGGGGCCAGCTGGTAAAAGCCTCTGGAAGACTGGGACTTTGTCTAAGGGGCGGCGACCCTTGCGCCGCCCCCAGTGAGAGCTGGGAGCCCCATTCCCTGGGTTCACTTCTCCCTGGCATCGAGTAAGTGCCTATGTCACAATGGTCAGGTGCTGACATCATAGAATCTTCTCAATGCTCTAGGACCTTCTTCCAGAGATCATCCCAAGGCTGACCTGTGACAAAACTGAAGCAGACAAAATTCTGTAGTGGATTCAGTTTCCTGTTCAGGCCCTGGCCCCACCTCTACTCTCTGCCCATGTATTTCACATGTCCTACCACCTCCTCCATCGGTTGTTACCCCCAATCGTAGAGCCTGTTTGGGCTGAGCTCATGCTCCATACCGTTTTCCCCCTTGGAATATACTTATATTATGTTTTTTTTTTTTTTGAGACAGAGTCTCACTTTGTTGCCCAGGCTAGAGTGAGTGCCATGGCGTCAGCCTAGCTCACAGCAACCTCAAACTCCTGGGCTCAAGCGATCCTCCTGCCTCAGCCTCCTGAGTAGCTGGGACTACAGGCATGTGCCACCATGCCTGGCTAATTTTTTCTCTATATATATTAGTTGGCCAATTAATTTCTTTCTATTTATAGTAGCAATGGTGTCTCGCTCTTGCTAAGGCTGATTTTGAACTCCTGACCTTGAGCAATCCGCCCACGGCCTCCCAGAGTGCTAGGATTATAGGTGTGAGCCACTGTGCCCGGCCCTTATTTTATGTTTTAATAACTATTTTCTTAACAGCTATATTGAGATATAATTCACATGCCATACAGTCCACCCATTTAAAGTGTACAATTCAGTGTGTTCTAGTATATTTAGAGTTATACAACCATCTCCACAATCTAATTTTAGAATATTTTTGTCCCCCGCAAAAGAAATCCTGTTTCTGAGGCTTTGTATATTCTAGACATTTCATACAAGTGGAATCATACGACATATGGCCTTTTGTATCCTGACATCATTCACTTAGCATGTTTGTAGTGTTTGTTCACGTTGTAGTGTGTATCATTACTGTATTCTTTTTTGTTTATAATTATTATTAATTTTATTTATTGCTTATTATTTATAATATTCCTTTGTATGGCTATACCATGTGTTGTTTATCCATTCATTAATTGATGGACATTTTTGTTATTTCTACCTGCTGGTAATTATGAATAACACTGCTATGAGCATTATTGCACAAGTTGTGTGTGGACATATGTTTTCATTTATCTTGAGTAGATACCTGAGAGTAGAATCGCTGAGTTACATGGGAAATCTATATTTAACATTTTGAGGAACTATCGAGCTGTCTTCCAAATTGGCTGTATCAATTTTCAATCCCACCAGCAAGGTATAAGGGTTCCAACTTTTCCTTATCCTCACCAAAACATGTGTTGCTTGTCTTTTTGATTTTATCAAAATGTGAATGTAAATGGTGTAATATTGTGGTTTTGGTTTACATTTTCCTAATGACTAATGATGTTGAGCATCTTTTCATGTGCTTATGGGATATTTGTTTATCTTCTTTGGAGAAGCGTCTACTTAAATCTTTGGCCTGTGTTTTATTTTATTTATTTATTTGAGACAGAGTCTCACTCTGTTGCCTGGGCTAGAGTGCCGTGGCATCAGCCTAGCTCACAGCAACCTCAAACTCCCGAGCTCAAGCGATCCTCCTGCCTCAGCCTCCTGAGTAGCTGGGACTACAGGCATACGCCACCATGCCCAGCTAATTTTTTCTATATATTTTTAGCTGGTAAAGTAATTTCTTTCTATTTTTGGTAGAGACAGGGTCTCGCTCTTGCTCAGGCTGGTCTCAAACTCCTGAGCTCAAACAATCCACCCGTCTAGGCCTCCCAGAGTGCCAGGATTACATGCATGAGCCACCACGCCTGGCCTGGCCTGGCCCATGTTTTAATTAGGTTTTTTTGTCTTCTTATTATTGATACAAGTCCCTTTATCATATATGTAATTTGGATACAAGTCCATTATCATGTATGTAATTGGCAAATATTTTCTCTGATTCTGGGGGGTTATCTTTTTACTTTCTTGATGGTCTCCTTCGATGCACAAAAGTTTTTAAATTGGATAAAGTTCAATTTACCTATTTTGTCTCTTGCTTGCTTTTGGTGTCTTATCTAAGAAACCATTGCCTAACCCAAAGTCAAAAAGATTTGCTCCATGTTTTCTTCTAAGACTTTTATACTTTTAGCTGTTCCATTTATATCTATGATCCATTTTGAGTTAATTTTTTTTTTTTTTTTTGAGACAGAGTCTCACCTTGTTGCCCAGGCTAGAGTAAGTGCCATGGTATCAGCCTAGCTCACAGCAACCTCAACTCCTAGGCCCAAACAATCCTGCTGCCTCAGCCTCCCAAGTAGCTGTGACTATAGGCATGCACCACCATGCCCGGATAATTTTTTCTATATATATTAGTTGGCCAATTAATTTCTTTCTATTTATAGTAGAGATGGGGTCTCGCTCCTGCTCAGGCTGGTTTTGAACTCCTGACCTTGAGCAATCCGCCCACCAGAGTGCTAGGATTACAGGCGTGAGCCACCGCGCCCAGCCTTGAGTTAATTTTTGTATATGGTGAGAGGTAGGGGTTCAATTTCATTCGTTCATTCTTTCTTTCTTTTTTCATGTGCCCAAAAACAAGAGGTATCAACTTCACTCTTTTGCATGTCAGTTGTCTCAACACTATTTGTTGAAAAGGCTATTCTTTCCACATTGAATTGTCTTGGCTTCTTTGTCAAAAATAGGTTGCCTAGTGTATTAGTTTCCTGTTGCTCCCATAACAAATTTCTTCATACTTAGTGGCTTAAAACAACACAAACTTATTATTTTACAGTTCTGTAGATTACAAGTTCAACCTGGGCCTCACTGGGCTAACATCAAGATGTCACAGGGTGACATTCCTTTCTGGAGACTCTAAGGGAGAATCTATTTCCTTGCCTCTTCTATCTTCTAGAGGTTACTCACATTCCTTGGTTTGTGGTCCTCCTCGTACATCTTGAAAGCCAGCACCCTTGTATCTCTATGACCATTCCTCTATAGTCCAATCTGCCTCTGACTCAAAACTACTATGCCTCCCTCTTCATTTTTTAAGGATCTTTGTATTATATTGAGCCCAGCCAGATAATCTCTATTTTAAAGTCAGCTGATTAGTAACCCTAATTTCTCCTTCCCTTGTATCATAACGTATTCACAGGTGCCGGGGAGTAGAACATGCACATTTTGGGGATGGGGGAAAGAGAAAGTTAATTCTGCCTACCAAAACCATAAAAATAAGTGCTTATTTCTGGGCTTTCAATGTGATTCCACTGATCTTTATACCTATCTTTATGCCAGTACCTCACTGTCTTAATTATTGTAGCTTTGTAGTTTTAAGTTTTGAAATTGGGAAGTGGGAGTCCTCCAACTTTGCTCTTCTCTTTCCAGATTGTTTTGGCTATTCTGGGTCCCTTGCATTTCTATATGAATTTTAGGATCCACATATCAGTTTCTGCAAAACAAACAAATAAACCCACTGGGATTTTGGTAGGGATTACATTGAATCTACATATCTTTTTTTTTTTTTTTTTTGAGACAGAGTCTCACTATGTTGTCCAGGCTAGAGTGAGTGCCGTGGCGTCAGCCTAGCTCACAGCAACCTCAAACTCCTGCACTCAACCAATCCTACTGCCTCAGCCTCCTGAGTAGCTGGGACTACAGGCATGTGCCACCATGCCCGGCTAATTTTTCTATATATATTAGTTGGCCAATTAATTTCTTTGTATTTATAGTAGAGACAGGGTCTTGCTCTTGCTCAGGGTGGTTTCGAACTCCTGACCTTGAGCAATCCTCCCGCCTCGGCCTCCCAGAGTGCTAGGATTACAGGCGTGAGCCTGAATCTACGTATCTTTTTGGGAGTCTTGGTATCAGAACAATAAGTCTTCTAATCTGTGAATATGGGATGTCTTTCCATTTCTCTGAGGGCAAGCTGGTAGCATTTTTATTATGGACTATTTTAAACAAATACAAAAGTAAAAACTGTAACAAAATGAACCCCCAGGCTGGGTGCCTATCACCCAGGTTCAACAATTACCAATCCTGGACAATTTTTCTCTACATCTCCATGTATTTTTCTAGTGAATCATTTCCAAACAAATCCCAGCCATCACACCATTTCACTCACGAATATTTAATGATGTATCTCTCAAAATTAATTCTCTTATTTATTTATTTTATTTATTTATTTATTTTGAGACAGAGTTTCACTTTGTTGCCCAGGCTAGAGTGAGTGCCATGGTGTCAGCCTAGCTCACAGCAACCTCAAACTCCTGGGCTCAAGTGATCCTCCTGCTGCAGCCTCCCGAGTAGCTGGGACTACAGGCATGCGCCACCATGCCCAGTTGATTTTTTCTATATATATTAGTTGGCCAATTAATTTCTTTCTATATATAGTAGAGACAGGGTCTTGCTCTTGCTCAGACTGGTTTTGAACTCCTGACCTTGAGCAATCCTCCTACCTCAGCCTCCCAGAGAGCTAGGATTACAGACGTGAGCCACCGCGTCCGGCCATTAATTCCCTTATTTTAAACCATAACCACAATTCTTCCACACCTAAAATAAACTTCTAGTCAATGTTAAGATATCTCTTATTGTCTTATAAATGTTTTACCAATTTGTTTGAATCAAGAGCCAGATATGTCCCATACATTGTGAGTCCTTCATAAAGTGCTTAAATTTCCTTTAATCGATAAGTACCAACTCAATCTTTTTCCTTGGAGCTACTCTGTGGAAGGACTGGCTTATTTGTCCTTGCAGAATTTTCCACAATCTACATCACCATATTCTCATTTATCCTCTTCCTTATAATTCCTATAATTTGCTAGTTACCCCGAGTAAGTAGATTCTGAAGACTATTTTGCTTTTTAAAATAATTCTATTATTAAAAATTTCAAACATATACAAAAGTAGAGATAAAAGTATGATCTCCATGTACATATCACCAGCTTCAAAAATTACTAAATTGTATCCCATCGTATTTCATCTGTATTTCGCTGAGGTTATTCTGAAACAGATTCAAGACATCAGATATCATCTGCAAATATTTCTGTAAG